AGGGCCAAGAAGCGAATGTGCTAAACTTGGACGTTTCCCTTAGGGAACGTGCCGATGTTTGCTTGTGGATGGCCTCTTGGGCCGCGCCCTGGGGGCGCGTCGGGCCGCGCAAGCGGTCTCAGGGGCCGCGTGAAAGGCCGAGAGGCGAACGCGTTGGAAGTATGTGCTTTCCATCGAGAATGGGGCGGTCGTTGCTTTTTGGAAGGCTTCTTGAGGCGCCTCTGGGTAGCGTCTTGAGGCGTCTGGGGGGCCTGTAGGGCTGTCGGGAGGCAATGTTGGACGACTTGGGGCACTGTTGAACGACTTGGGCCGACCAGGAGGCCTTTTAAAAACCTTCTTGGCCCGTCTTGGGGCCCTCATGGGGCCGTCCTGCGGCTCTCCAGGGCCGTTGCTATGGTTTCTGGGGCCTTAGCGGGGCGCCCGGATGCCGTCTTGGAACCCTCTTAAAAGCCTCTGGGGCTGCAGGGGGTCGATGTTGGATGCTTCTTGGGCCGTTGTAGGCCTCGTAGAGGCCCAAGAGGCGGAATGGGACGATTTTTGCTTCTGGAGGCAGGCCTTCGTGGAGCGTCTCGTAGTAGCTTTTTCAAACGTCTCGGGGGCTTCTGGGGAGTCGTCTGCAGGCAAGCTGGTGCGGCTTGGACCGAATCGCCCCACTCGCGGGCCGTCCAGAAGGCCTTTGGGGACCCTCTTGGCCCGTTGTGCGGCTCTCGTGGGACCGTCCTGCGACTGTCCTGGGCCGTTGCTGTGGTTTCTGAGGTCTTCGTGGTGCGCCCGGAAGCCGTCGCGGAGCCTTTTCAAAAGCCTCTTGGGGTGTCGGGGGATCGAACTTGGAGGTTTCCTGGGCCGTTGTAGGCTTCGTAGAAGCCCAAGAGGCGAATGTGTTGAAAATGTAAGTTTCCCCAGGGAATGGGGCGATTTTTGCTTCTGGCGGCCCTCTTGGAGCGCCTCGCGGACGCGTTTTCAAACGTCTTTGGGGCCTATGGGGCCGTCTGGAGGCAATCTTGGGCGGTTTGGACGGAGTCGTCCCCCGCGTGAGCCGACTGGGCAGCCTTTTTGGGGACCCTCTTGGCCCGTTGTGGGACCCTCTTGGGACCGTTCTGCGGCTCTCCCGGGCCGTTGCTATGGTTTTGGGAGCCTCGAGGGTTGCAGAGGGTCGATTTTGTTGTTTTTTTTGTGGGGAAGCTCTTGGCCGTGTGGGCCGCGTGGAAGCCAAAAAGCGAACATGCTGAAACTGTACGTTTCCCCTTGGGAATGGGACGATATTTGCTTCTGGAGGGCCTTCGTGGGGCGCCTCGTAGCATTCCTTAGAAGAGTCTTGGGAACTGATGGGGCCGTCTGGAGGCAATCTTCGGCGTTTTGGAACGATGTCTCGTCGACTCGTAGCTCTCTTGAACCGTTCCGGGACCCTTTGGAACCTTTTTGGCCCGTTTTGGAGCCTCCTGAGGCTCCAAGTGTGCGGCCGAGAACTTTTGCCCCCCCCCCCTCCAAACCGGCCGGACCGGCCCCGGGGGAGGGGTTTGGGACGGGGGAAGCATCTCACACGCCGTGACCCCAAGGGGTCGGCGGATT